TCATGGGATTCAACGGGGAATCAATGGGGACTCAACGGGGATTCAACGGACTCAATGGGGATTCAACCGGTACTCAAAGGGATTCAACGGGGACGTAATGGGTATTCAACGGGGATTGAACAGGGACTCAACGAGGATTGAACACGGATTGAACGGGAACTCAACGGCAAGTCAACGGGGACTAAATGGGGATTCAACGCGGATTCAACGGGGACTAAATGGGAACTCAACGGGGATTCAACGGGGACACTAAAAATCAATGAAATCCTGGATGTTTGATAATTTTGATGTTTTTGGTTGATAAGAATACGCCGCCCCCCACGTTTCGTCGGTTCACTGTGCAGCTACAGAGCACAACATGGGTGTCAGGTGGATTATGTCACGTCGAATCATAAAAAACACATGCATTAATAGAAGAAAACTTCAAATGTCCTTGAAACAACGCAAAAAACATGCTTTCGTAGAGAAAAAGTACAAAATAACACCCAAAGGCCGCAATCTTGCTACCTTCCTGCCCTGATTCTCAAATTCTAATGTTAACGCTTCTACGGAGGAATCAATGTATATATCTATAATTCTTCATGTATGTTATGTTATTATGTATTATAGAGAGAGGCTTCTTTGGAAGTTGGGAGGCGGATTCCCCAAGGATTCCCACACTGGTGATGTTCCGTATTTGTGCGGGACACATGCTTCTTTCCGAAGCTAGACCTAGACGTCCCCTCAGAAGCCTGGCACCATCAAACAAGGAGTTGATGCCCCGCCTTTCTCTTTCCTCCTTTAATATAAGAACTGACTTCAACAAATGACCCGAGTGAACCAGTTCCAACCTCCCAATCTCCCCACGTTGGAACCAAATGGTGAGGTCTCACAACATGCGCGTGCATGGAAAATTAGGGAGACCTTGCAAAGAAGAAACTGTGGAAGCAGGCAAATGGACGGAAGCCCATTGGTTGAACATCTCCCTCTTAAAATACAGCCCCCCGCAGTTGCCGTGTTGGGGTGTTCTTCGGCTTGTTGACCTCGACGACCATCTCAGCAGGCTGGACCTTGTTTACCCTCTCCACTGTTCGACCCTTTCCCTCCGTTGACGTACTTCTGATGCTTATGATGGGCCCATGACCAGTCCGCTCGCATACCCAAACAGCCATCACCCTCGGCGCCGACTCCGCTCCGAAGGCGAAGGCCGAAGGCCGAAGCCCAGCTGACCGAATCTCTTCGAATCCCAGAACCCACCATGGTACGCTTTCAGAGTCGGCACCAACCCCAAAGAGGTGCACGATGGTGCAAGCCCAGCAGATGGGCCATGGGTTTCGCCCAATCCGAAACCACACCGCCCCAAAACCACCGCCCGGCCCTACCCCAGTCCAATCCCCACTCCCACCGGTGCTGCTGGCACTTCCGCGGCAGGTGCAGCGGGCTTAGGCTGTGCCTCTGGGCGAAGCGGCTTGCAGCGGTGGGGGCTTGGGCGTTCGGTTTTGGGGGGCGTTCGGCGCCGTTGGGGACCCACACCTTGTTTCGCTGAGGTGAAAAGATGAAACTGCACTGAGACAGTTCTAGAAATTGTCCATGGGATTGGACTTGTTTGTCATATTTGGTAAACTTTCGAACCACTTTGATTGCTTTGGTTTCTTTTGGTTGAGACGTACTTGATCTGTGGCGCCCCCACCGCTGGCGCCGCTGCAGCGTTCGCGGCGGCCGCTTTCGCGGCGGCCCGCGCGGCTTGCGCTTGCGCGTATTGCTTTTCCAAGGGCGAAGGGCCAGCCTCAGGTCGTGCAATCGCTGTAGTCGAGTGAAGGAGATAGAAGGAATGGGCACCTGAGAAAAAGTGCGGGGGAAGTTCCCAGTTCGGCAACCCCAAACGTTTCAGCAAACACCAAAACTACTTCGGCCAGATTTCGAGTTCTGAGACAAATCCTGTGTGTTCCCCATGTCTCCAAGGAAGCAAGTAGAGTCGAGTTCTGTGTCGGACTCCCGGCATCCACGCTGCTCGATGTGTGCACACGATCCGTTTTTTGTAGCGGGCGCATGTCAGCATACCATATCTTACAGGGTGAGGTCATGGTTTCTGCTTTTGGTGTCGTAAGTCCCTAGCAGTGTTCTGCTTCTCCATCTCCTCCGCCTTCTTCACGATATCGTCCTGGCGAACGCCGCCAATGTGCTCTCTCTCTCTCTCTCTTTCTTTGCGATGAAGGAGGACCAAGTGCATGCAACACTGAACGCTCTTTCAGAAGCTGTGATCATGTTTAAATAAACGTTTCATATCATATCGTATATCATTTATAACGTATACTATAATATCATATAAACTCACATCTTTTCTTCATAGGCCGAAGCTCCATCCGCTCCTTCGGCCACCGAAGCTCCCCTTCTCCCTCCGGCCCTCTCCACCGTCACCGAACTCCGTTCCATTCGACCGTTTCACCAGGCGAACGAACCGCCGAGAAGGACCCATTCCTCTCTCTCTCACTCTCCCTGGGGCCACAGCTTCGACCACCAGATTCACCTGGTGCGCCAAATTCACCTCTCCGCGGTGTCCACCGCCCCGAGCCGAAGACACGCCCCGAGCCGCCGCGACGCCGAGCCGCCCCGGCGCAGGAGCGCCAAAAAGCCGAGGCGACCGCGGGAGGCGCGGAGTTCGGCACCAGGTCGTCAGGGCTTCGATGACGTTCGATGGCTCTCAGCCACTGAGATTTGATGAGTGGGACACCTTTTCCCGGCCTTTCTGTCAGGCTTTTCTGGGCGGCTTATTGAGGTGCCAAAAGCCAAGAGTCACACTGTATACACCCTTGAAAACCCAAAAATGACCATAACAACAGCAGCTGCTAGCATGTGCTCAGCATCCTCTTGTGCCCCGCCAAGATCTTCCTGGGTGCCCCCTGCGCCACGGACTGAAGGAGTCGGGCGGTCAGCCTGAGACGGAGGCCCACCGGAGTACCAAATCCCTGACTGGTATACGTGATGCACGCAAGGAATGCCATAATATACTATGTGGTCACTCGCATATTTGCAGCAACACATTACAACCGTCAAGTAGCGCATAGCATAACTCTGTTGGGAATCACTGGCTTTGCGCCTTGCTCGTCCTTGTTCCGTTGTTCCACCGACCAGTGGTTCATACTGCCAACCCCGAACGGTGCCCCAACTCCACACAGAAAATCATATCCGATGAGAAAAACCATACTGCTGCGACTCACGAACACGGAAGTGGAAAACCATGGAGAAGCCTGCTGTTCAAGGAACTTGTCTTCCAAGCGGCCATTCTTGGAATGAGTGAGTCAGAGTGTACTGATGTGTACTGCTTGTTCAACTTGCTTTTGAGTGGACTGGAAGCAACGTGGAACTCCGGGGCCCCGGGCGTGATGTGTCAAGCTCCCCAAACAAACCACCCCCTCCCCCCGGAACCCCCCCCCGACCACCGCCGCGCCTGACTTCTCTCCGACGCCGTGAAGGAGGGGACGGCTCCGAAGTAGACCACTGCCTCGGCTCCCGAAGCGTCGCAGCGTCGCCCCTCTTGGGGTGAGGGGCGTGGTCTGGCGCTGTGCGGCGAGGAGGCGCGTGGCTTTGGTGAGGTCAGTTGGGGAGGCGAGTCGGGTCAAAGCGAGGATGTCTCTGAATGTGGAGCGCCCGGATCGAAGGAGGAGGAGGAGGAGGAGGTCCCACTGGAGGTCCCCAAGAAGCACCTGGCGAAAGACTCAACATACCTAAATTGGACACTGTGCCGAAGTCTGTCGAGCCATCGTCCGATGAAAAAAACCTTCAGGACGGCCGGGTGAAATCGGGTGAACATCCGATTCCATCGTCATGTAGGTCAAATCATGCCCGTTCCATTCGATTCTAGTTGATATTGAGTTGCACAACTTAAAGAAGCAACCTAGTGACCTAGTGGAAGTCTTGAGCAGGTCCATCATCTCACCCCACGAAGTCAGAAAAGAAAACAACAAAACAACAAACGACCGCATTGGTCTACGAAGGCTCTGAAATTGAGTGTATAAAGGAGTGGGTGGCACATGGTGGCACTTGCAGTGGTTTGTCAAACGGATGGAAACTGAGGAATACTGATGCTTTCAAGCCTATACGAGGGGAATTCCCCTCGTGTTTTCGGTCTGGTTGGTGGTCACATGTGGTCACTATACTTAGTATAGTACTTCATTCACAGCATTTTACAACCAACAGTAGGTGATACGGAAGTTTCTGCTTGCCCCGCAACAAACAGAACGCACGACACATGGCTCCCCTTTTTGCCAGATTGCTCCATGTTTTTTTGCGGAGACGGAGTGGAATTTCCCTGAAACCGAAGCCTGGTGAGGTCGAAAAAAACTCCTTGTTTCGGTTCGGAGTCGGGGAAGGCGTGCTTCTTCGGCTTCGGCGCCTGGCCTAAGGCGCCTGGCCTTCGGCGCCTTCCCCGGCGCGCCGGTCCCGGAAAAAGCACCGGTCCGCGGTGGGTCCCAGGGGCGGCCACCACACAGAGGCCCGTGATCCAAGCTCCGTGGAAACGCCACGCAAGAGACCTGAGCATAATGCGGTCCCAGTCGGAAACCGATACGTGGTCTCGGCCGGGTTTCTCAGCGAGGCCAAAGCAAAAAAGCAAAAAAGAAATGGAACTCGAGAACGGGTTCCGACCCAGAGGGTCAACCAAAAGACGATCCATGGCATGACCTGTGGTTTGGGGTGTGGCTTTCATCGTTTGGGCTATGTGCTTTGCCCCTCCAAACGACGTGGACCTGCCTTTTCTTCGGGAACGTGGACGTGAAGTCCACTCGGAAGCACAGGGCGCAGAAATCGAACACATGGGGAGAGATTGCATAGTGCATCCCAAAACGCCCTGGGAAAAAAGCGGTGACACCAGTGATTGCAAGGCCACTTCATCTGCGATGAAGAAGGTCCAGGTGTGAGTTCTTGAAAAAGCCCTGAGAAACCTGGATCAGCCTGTGACTCCAGACGTGACCAAAGATGCGCCAAGCCCCGGATGCGCCAACATCCAACCTCAACCAACCCTCCAGAGCCGATCCGATCGCGTGTCTGCGCGCGGCGTGTCCGCGCCTGTTTCCATGAGTAATCACTGGACCATCCGCCAGCAGGTTCTCCACCTGGACCGGAGACCGACCCCGGCGACCGGGCCCCCCGGTTGCACCGGAGAGGTCGGGTTCCGGCGGAAGGACAGCGGGGTGGTTTCGTCCAGGACGCCGGAGAAAAGGCTGAGGAAGGCCGCCCTTCCGGAAACGAATCGAAGAACAGGGTGATCATGCTTGGGATCTTTAAGTGTTGGCATTTCTTTTTTGTGTGTGTGCGTTAACATATAGTGTGTATATATATATAATTATATGATATACATCATTATACATCATCATCACCAAATATTGAGGGTGGTCCCAAGTCAATGTCCTTCTTTGGATCCTATCCGGTTTTTGAACATCTCTTGAAGCGGAAGTCCCCTCTTTGGCATGCATGCAACCTGATGGTGGACACTCCTCGCTTGAATGGTGAAGAAAGTCCGAAACCTTTGGAAGAAAGAATGTCCATCTGTTCAATACAGAAACAAAAACACACACAAAAAAAGACGTGTCGCAAGGATGGTTTGCCACAAACAAAAAAATACAAAAAAAATATACGGTCTTCACATCTGTGCTACTATAGTAGTCAAAATGAATCGGAAAAAAAAGAACACAAGACAACTTCTAGATGTTTAATCTATAAAATATTGTAAAATGCTCTCCATTGGTCCATCTGCGAAGCTGTGGACTCCATGAAGGGGATCTTGATGGTGCACAACCCTCATCCAAATAAAGGCCAAATCAAATCGATGTTTCATGTAAAACACCTCAAAGAAACGACATCAACCACCGCCTTACGGCCGCTTACAGTACAGTTACAACAAGCTCTCCCCCCCAGACATCTCTCACCGTCCACCCCAACACGTCCACCCAACGGTCCAGCGCACCTCACCCGTGGAGCTCGGCATTTCGACGACTCCCACGGAAGGGTTTCCCCGTGTTCCAACGCCTATGCTTTTCCGAAAAAAAATAAATCGGAACCCGATCTAGAGCTGCGAGCCGAAGCACGGGCGGCGGGGCCGAGCTGTTGGGGTTAGCCGGTGGAGCCCCTGATCAAGCCGAGTTCGGCCCGTGCGGCAAAAAATGCGTGGCGGTCGGAGACGGGGTTGTGGTGTCTTCACGAATGATCAAGAAATATACACCATGCAGCTGCGTGGTTGATGCTGGTCACTTCTTATCAGATCTCCATGGGGTTTTGCAAAAGGAGTTCCTCACACCTCAATGGCCCCAGCATGCCCCAGCTAGATCATGTTTGGGAACCCAACGAAACGAACACCTTCGGAAGCACCTCCTGGCCCCTTTTGCCGGACGCAGGTTCATCTCTGGCGCCGTTGACTCACGTGGATCCGTTCAATCCATCGTCCCTTCGCTCAGCTCCAGCAGTCCTCGGGAAAAGGGATGTGTCTCGGCAGCAACCCTGACCTGGACCTGATCCTGTTTCCGACCCAATGAGTTAAGGAAAGAAACGATGCTTAAGTTAAGGTGACGTTCTGCAATGTCTACAAGATGTTCCGCACGAAGGCCTTGGCGTTCGAGCTCGGCTGCCACCATCTCGTAGAGGCAGTTCCCGAGGCCTAAGAAGGCACGAAAGGCAATCAACATGCGTTCCCTGACTCAGTACATGCCTGCTGTTAAAAAGGACTGCATCAAACAAATCGGAGAATCAGCAGGCAGAACACGGGAAGCATCTTCTCTTTTCTCTGAGCTTTACACATGTCACTGAGGAAGAATCCTCGGGACCTTCTTTACATTGAGATG